TCTCATTTTAAAATATAAAAAATCTAAAATATAATTAGAATAATTATCGAGTTCCAACAAAATAAATAATTATTATCTTTATAAAAAAATTATATTATTAAACCAAATATAACTTCGTTATTGTACATAAATTAAATTATAAAAAAAATGAATAAAAAAATTACACAAAAAAATGAGGAATTTTAAAATCACACAAAGCCATATTATAACATCGACTGAGATAAAAAATAAAATAAAATATTAAAATCACGATATATTTCGCTGCATTACGCGAGTACGCTTCTAATATATATATATATATATATATATATATATATATATATATATATATATATATATATATGAAAGAAAGTATAGATGACATTAAAACGAGGTGCTATAATATGGGCATTTTTTCGACAGAATCAAGGGAGAAACACATGGCACCCACAATATGTGTTTTATAGCCCACTGGCTTTCACCCACGGTTATCATTCAACTTGCCTTGCCGTTATTATATTTTCCTTTTCAGTCCTCCAACATTTCTCTAATTACAAATATTCCTTTCTAACGTTAACCAAGACTTGACTGTTTTTTTAGTTATTTCATCTTCTTTAAAGAAAACTGTTGAACCAAGTCAAATCTAACTCTTTTTAACCGTTTAGGTGGTAGTCTGGTTGTTTGGTACAATCTGAAAAATATCCAAATCCTTCGAGATATATATATATATATATATATTTTTTTTTGGCAGTTTGGATTTTTAGACCGTCAAAACACAGATCCATTAATTGTATTTAATTTTCAAGTCGTTTGTACGCCTCCAATTAAAAAAAATTCATCTAAAATATCAAGTTTTTAGTTTTTACTTCTCAATTTTTTGCATTTCTTAAATCAACAAAATTATGTAATCTGTCAAATATCAAAATCCAAAATTCCAAGTTGTTCTTCGAGTTGTTCAATGTTTCTCTAAAATTTCAACTATTGTTGGTGGACTTTCTTTAACTTTTTTATTTCTTTTATTTAAGTATATATTTTTTTCAATAATATTCTATGTCTAGAGATTTCATTTTTGCAAATAGATGTCATATTTTTTAGTTTAAAGTTCGTAATAGACCCAAACAACTTAAACCCATCAGATTATACCATCTTTTTGTGGTTCACTTTAACTGGTTTACTCATTTGCTGTCAAACCGTTTAATATAAATATCTTAATATTTATATTTATTTAAAAATAAAAATATTATCGTTTTCTCAAAACCACATAAAACTGTATTATAACATCAGCTGAGACAAAAAAAAAACGAAACATTAAAATCGAGATTTATCTCACTACATTATGCAAGTACTCTTCTACTATATATGTATGTGTGTGTATATATATATATATATATGTAGAATAATTTATTATTTAATATTTTAGATTTTGTGTTTTGGACTTTGAGTTTGATCCAATAGGATAATTGACAATACTAATAAATTAGTTGGGCACGTCATAATTCACTCTTTTAATTTAGTTTGAAATTTATTTATTTTACTTCTTAGACTATTTTTAATCGTGCAATATGAATTTAAGAATTGGATATATTGAAACTCTTTATTTTTTTGGATTACGGTCACTTTATCGTCAATTTTATAATGTATTTTAAAACTTATAATTATTGGATTGTAGGCATAAAGAGCGATATGTACAAACTGCATAAACCACACCCCACCACATTTTGCAATGCAGTGCAATTTGAAGTTTATGCGTCCTCAGGTAACAATTTATTGCGTGTGTGTATATATATATATATATATATATATATATATATATATATATATATATATATATATATATAAGAGTGATCAAATAAAAACCGTCCTCATTTGTGTAAACCATACAAACCACTTTCATCCGTCGATTTCATTGTTTAATCTTATGAAATTGTTTAATCTTGTGAAATTGTTTCATATAATACTTTTTTTGATCAAGTTATTTCATATATGGTTGTGAAATTGTTTCATATAATACTTAATGAAACTGTTTCATGTATTTCTCTAAAATTAATGAAAYTRTTTCATGTATTTCTCTAAAAATTAAAATAATGAAGATGATAATATCTATGATTAACACCCTCCACAATAAAAATGATTAATCAACCTCTCATAATTACAAAAAAAATG